CGGGTCGGTTTGGCTGGGGCGAGGGCGGGAGGGGGGGCGCAGGGGCAGGCTGCCAGGCTGGGAGGGCACGGCAGGGCCAGCCCATGGGCTCACTGGGCCCCTTCCAGCCTGCCTGCGAGGCAGGCTGCGAGGTCTTTCCCCAGGCACTGGAGAAAGGTGATCTGAGGACTGGTTTTCCAGCATGACGTTACCCGAGTTTAACCTGGTCACAGGAGAGGGACAGGAAAGTGCTGCCAGCAGTTGGCTGCACTCGCACCGTGCTGCTGCACCGCCCCTCCCCGCGCACACCAAAATACCCCACCTCGTCCCAAAAGGCATTGCTACGCTCTGCCATGGCTGGGACACAGCACGCCTTCACCCCGGCACATCCCTTGGCGCCCACACCGCTCCGGGAGCGGATCTGGGGCACAGGGAGGATTGCTGCAGCCCGCCCCAGCCCTAGAGGGGGATGCTCCGGGCAAAGGTGCTCGCGAGCTGGGTGCCTGCAGGAAGACCTTGGCCAAAAAATCTACGTGAGAGGGGTGCAAGCAGCTCACCTCCACTTCTGTGAAGTTCTTCTCAGGGCCCAGTAGATAGGGGGTGATGAAGCTTTCTCCAGGCCGGATCTGCGTCATGAACCCGTAGAAGCACAGGTAGAAGACCTGGAGTTTCCAGCGCTGGTCTGGCGCAGCCTCTGAGGCAGGCTTCTTGGCACCATCATCCTTCTTGGCACCATCATCCTTCTTGGACATGGCTCTGCCAGCTGCCTGAGCAGCCCTTCAGTGGGACAGCAGCTTTCTCCAGGGGACAGTCAGATAGACGAGCTCTGCCAGGCCAGGCAGCTCCTCTCTGGCTGCAAGCGCTTGCCGACACATCGATGTCCACGCCGCCGCAGTTTCTGGGGAGAAATCAGCTCTTGGCATGAGATCAAATTCCTCCATAATACTAACACAAATAAATAGCGCTACCTTCTCCCCAGGAAACATTCTTGCAACGACAGTGTCTTGCAGAGATCAAAAAAAAGCAGTCCTGCAAAATGGGGCCCCCTATTTTAGGCAGGATCTTCAAAGTCCATGGAAAGAATATGGATGCACCGGGCAATCTGCTCTCCAGTGAGGTGGTTGTCCATCCTGCTCAGTTCCTGTAACCCCCCCACTTCTTGCCTTACGAAAGTCAGCAGGACGTCCCCCCTCAATCCCCGAAGCACAGCTTTCCTTCGAGCCAAGTTGCTCTGCTGAAGATACAACAAGTTTTCCCAGTTTGCCCTTTGCTGCCCGCAGTGCAGGTGAGGACAACCAGCAGGTCATGCCAGCCCCAGTCCATCGTACAAGCGAGTTCACGCGTACTCCCGGAGCAAGGCTGCCCACGTTATATATTAGCTACGCAGGCACCAGGACTTTAGACAAGCTAAAGGTACGTGGTTTCCCCTTCGCACTCCTCCACCCTGAGGTGATACACGTCCCCCGAACGCGCGCCTAGGGAACGATGCTCGGGCCGCAGCGCCCGCCGTCCTGGTAAAGACGGGGAAGAACAAGAAATGCAACAGGGCGCTCGAGAGGTTTCAACCTCTGAAAAAGGTTTAAACGCTCAACTCCCTTGACTCGGCTGCGCAAAGGCGGGCAGCACCCGAGGGGCCTAATTAGCAGTCACAGGAGGAAGCTCAGGAAGGGAAAGCTTTTGGCTGAAGCATCGTATTTCAGCTTCCTGAAAGCGTGTCTAGGGCTGCTGAAACGGCCCCAGCCCCGGGGGGAGGCTCTGCTTTCCCAGCTAGGCTGTGGCAAAGCAACCGGATGAGATAGCCCAGGGGACAGCTGCACACCAAGGAAGTCCTCTCTTCTCCATCACGCACCCCTACAGCTGCTATGCTCCAGGCTTGCAAGGCAGGGAAGCTGGGAACATCCCTACCCTCAGTCCTGGTCTAACATACCCTCTTCCCTCGCACTCTGCCAGGCTGATTGCATCACCGTGGGCAGGGCTGGCCCCAGAGTCAGTTTTTTACAAAAACAAACAAAAACAGCTAAACGTGTTTGCTGAAATCCCCCTTTAAATTGCAATTGGAAGGTATATTGGAGGGAGAGAGAAGGGGTCTGCAGCTACTTGGGGAATTCAAACTCCTCTCCCTTTCTCATCCTCGCGGCATACCTTTCAAGCGGTCAGAGCCAGACCTGCTCCCAGGCATTCTCCATGTACCTCTCGCTCCCACAAGTCACCAACAGCACTTATTAAGAGATAAAAAGCCACACGTATAAATACATGCTACAGGGCCAAGGTCTGGAAGCGTGACTACCTGCTAATCACAGAGCAACTGCTCACAGTCAGCTAAAAAGCTCTGGCCCCAAAAACCCGCATGTCCGTGGGACCTCCCGACCCGTGCCCCTCTTGCGCCCTGCACACGGCTGCCATCCGCCACGGTTAAACCCACACTTGCCTTGCAAAAGTTGGCACTGGATAATTAGTGCACGCAGCTAATAAGGAAACGAGCTGGCAGGGATAGCCCTACACAGCACAAATGTTCCTGGAAGGGGTCCTGTCACTGCGCTCACGTACAGAGCCCAGACGCTGGCACAGAAAGGCTGGTCGTGATGGAAACCCAAAGTGCAATCCGCTCCTACCCCTCCGATACACTTTTACAGAGTCCAGAGCCTGCGAAACCCTCCTCAGAGGTGAAGCAAACAAACAACTTGAAAAATTAAGCCCCCGGCATGACAAGCCCTAACTTCCTTTGACACGCCGAGCTTAGCTTTAATTGCTAGTCTTCAGGGTTTCACCAAAGCAGAGCGCGTTGAGTAAGGCCTCCACTTATCTCCTGGGAATATAAATCTTCCCGAGTAGCAGGGCAGTGATTTAGAAAGTGCTGTTTGCTTACTCACAAGCCAGCTAACTCCTAAAGCGGGGGCTCAGCAGCATTAGCTTGGACCTCCCTGCGGATTGCAGCAGCACAACCGCCCCAGGCTCAGTCTGGGTAAAAGAAAGGGCAAGCAGCAAGTAACGGGGGCTAAACTCTCAAATCCAAGCCCCTAACGCTGCCAAGATTGAGCTGTTGCCTTACCTCCCGTCCGGGGCCCTTGCCAGCTCCGACTGCCTGGACTATGACCCATTTCCCTCTTATCCCAGGCTTGGAGCGGACCCAGGAGTTCCCAGCCAGGCCAGGGCCCACAGATGTGACCGATTTTCATCTCCAACTCCCTGAGGGGCTGCATCGAAGGGGCTGGAGCTGCCAAAAGCCAGTCTGATGCTGGGGGCTAAAATGTCACTCCGGTTATCGTCCCTCCCTGCTCCAAACTGCGGGCTGTGGCAGAAGAGGCCAACCCCGCTCCGTCGACGCTGCTCCCCCTGCCCCAGACACGAGCCATGGGTGTCCACAGCCAAAACAAATAGGTTTTTAACAAACATCAAGAGCTCTTTGTAGGGCAGCCCCCACCCCACTCAGGTAGCAGGGCCAGCAACACGCTGCTCCCCACGGGACACCCGCTTCTTGCGCGACGAGCCCCGACAGGCAGCTGTCTACCCTTTGCTCCAAGCCAGTTTTTAAAGCTCCTTGTTTCCAGTCAAAAGCAGCGGATCTTCCTCCAGAATGAAGATACCTGCCCGTACTTGGCCCAAATGAACGACTTTTTTGCCTGGTTTAAACCCAAGGCAGGTTGCAGCTCCCTGACAGCTGTCAAAGTGAGGACTATCCCAGTGCCACCATCCCCCTGGGAGCACAGTGGCTCACCAGCTGTGATTTAAATCTGTTCTTGCTGTCTGGACAGGTGCTACATACCTCCCGGATCAGCTCAAGACTCAGTCAAAGCCAGGTCTCTTGCCAAAAAGCAAGCTGCTTTTCAGTGCAGACAGGTCCTCATTGCTCCAGGGTGGGCTGGGAAGGATCCCAAGTGGGAGGGAGGGAAGGGGCCAGCAGCCCTGGCAGCAGGAGCGATGCATCCACTGACAGCAAACCACACCAGCCCCAGGCCCTTGGCCCTGCCCTGGGCACGTCACCCTTGAAACATCACCCACACAAGCTGAGACACACCAGCTGGTGATTTCTGCCTCCATTCCAGAAGGCAGGTACCCTGCAGCTTGGCTAGCTTCCCAGTTTTGCCATGGGTCAAGACAAGATTACTAGCACAAGAATGAAGAAACAGGTGGAGAGGAGCCAGTTGATGTCTCCAAGCACACCTACGTGCTGGACAGCCACACCTTTGCCCCTGATTTGGCCTATTCAGAGCCTCTACAGCTCGCAGAGCACCCCAGAAATGTCAGTTTTAGCACACAACGCTCGGGGAGGCTGGGAATGAAACAACATCCTGGCAGGGGATGCGAGGGCATGAAAGGAACTGAGGAACTGAATTTGAACCAGCTCCTACTTGCTTAGAGAAATGAAAATCCTACCAGTGGTTTGGGAAGCACCTCCTCTCCCCTGGCTGGAGAGACACGCATCACAGCACGGAAAGGCTCCACATATCCACAGACCTGAGCAACGAACCCTTTTGGCCTGGCCTAACTCCATCTCTCCAGCTTAGGAAAGAAAGCTCAGCCAGCTGCCACCGCTCCAGGTGAGCAGACCTGAGTCCCCGTGGGATGCGCGAGGTCACTGTAAGGGTAGCTCAGCATTATCTTGCCTTGAGAAATTTCCAAGAGACTGCCCTACGCTCCCAAAGTAACCCCACCTCTACTTAAACCACTTGTCCCCTGGAGGTGCCCGGAGAAGTGACACAGAATTGCAGGTGCAAGCAAGACAGAGAAGAGGGAACACGGCACTGGCAGCTTAACACCACATGGGCCTGGGTTATTGCCAGGTTATTGTCATGTGAACCTGGCGTGGTCACGCGAAGCGTGTGCTGGCCAGTCCAGGCAGTGCCCGGGGTCACAGGTGAGATGTGTTGCTCAGTTCAGCCCCTCCTTCTCCATGAGCCACAGCCACCACACGTGGGTAAGGGACCAAACTGTAGTCCCAAGCTGACGGCCCCAGCACGGGCCACGTGGGATGCTCTCCCCACAAGTGTCTGAGAACTAAGGGAGGGTGAGTCTCCCCCGCAAGGACTCACAGCCATGACCACCACCGTACATTGGTGGCAAGCGGGAGTGAAGCTAACACAAAAGCAGTGACAGCAAAACCAGACACAGTTGCAAGGGGAAGCAGCCAAGCAAGCAGGAGTGGGACCACACAAGCTGGAGCGTGGGCACCTCTTCTGCCTTGGGTGGGAGGGCCCCTTCTGAGTGCCAGGGGGATGATGTGGAGTGCTCCTGGGAGGGGGGTGGCACCTGCTCACCCCACACAGGGGCATCATGTGCATCCTGGCACCCACATCCCAGGCATCCTGCACCAGGGCACCACGGGCACCCGGCACACTCTGCACTGGGGCACCCTGAGCAACCCCACAGCCCAGGCATCCTGGGCTCTCCACACCTCAAGGGGCACCCTGCACCCTCGGCAACCTGAACCCTGAGCACCCTTGGTACCCTGCACCCTGGGAACCCTGCACCCCAGCTACCATGAGGGCCCTGCACACCCCGCATGAGGGCATCCCATACCCCAGCCACCCTGCCCCAGGGTACCCTGCACACCAGGAAACTCCCACCTTAGGCACTTGCACCCTGGGCACCCCATGCTTTCTGACACCGCAGACCACAGGCATGCCATGCACTCGGGTACCCCGCAAATCAGGCACCTCGTGCATCCCGGCACCCTAGCCACCCCCGCGCACCCTCATGCATCCTAGCACCCCACGCCACGGGCATCCCATGCACCCAGGCACCTCACACCCAGGGCACCCCATGCACCCTGGCACCCCACGCCACGGGCATCCCATGCACCCTGCAGCCTGGTCACCATGCACCCAGTCACCTCACACCCAGGGCACCCCAGGCACTCAGGCACCTCACATCACAGGCACCTC